CTAGCCCACTGCTCCTTACCCTGTTACCAGTTTTATTGAAAGATATAAACAGCTCTGGCTTTGTCTTCTGCATGCATATTGGCTACCTGCTTTTCTCTTTTGCTGTTTCAAGCATAGCTGAATGTCTGTTTTGTCTTCTCGTGGAGGGAAGCTTTTCTGCCAGAGTATATTCTCAGATGTAGCTGATTACTAATTCCTGTCTTTGCTATTTTTGAAGTCTTGGTGTTTGCATACAGTACTAGCTAAGTGTTCAGGGGTGTGGGAAGAGGTTCCCTGTCTCTGCAAGCTTTTGGTTGGCTGAGAAAGAATTATATAGAGCTGTCCTCCTTGTCTTGCTTCAGGTAGGACGTGGTATGTATCTTGCTAGTTAGGTATTGTGGTTTTCTAGTCGTTTATTATGGAGCGTCTATTAACTGTTTTCACCAAGAACATGTGCTAAATAAAGCAAAATAGAAATGCAGAGTAGAACTATCAAATGTTAGGGGATCAGTAAAATAGTCATAATAGTTTACCTTTGTTATTGGTGAAGTAGAATAATGATAGAGATAGAGGTCATGGTTGTCATATCAAGAGGCTGGTTCCAGATAAAACATTTGCTGCTACTGCCTGGCCGGTGTGCCTCAGTGGTTGAGCGTGGACCCCTGAACCAAGAGGTCACGGGTTTGATTCTCTGTCAGGGCACATGCCCGGGTTAGATCCCCAGTAGGGTGCAGCAGGAGGCAGCTGATCGATGTTTCTCTCTCACTAACGTTTCTATCTCTCGTTCCCTTTCCCTTCCTCTCTCTCTCTAAAAATAAGTAAAAACATTTGTAAAGAATTTGCTACTTACTGATGTGACTGGTAGTATTGATAATGTTATAAAGAGGTTTATGGATTCCAAAATGTTTAACACAGATTAAAAAGGTATGTGCTAAATGGTAGGGATTCTTTTTATTTTAAGTTTTTAGTTATGAAAATCTCAAGTACTCAGAAAAGCATATAATAGGTCTTCATGTGTGTGTGGTCACCTTCAAAATTAAACAGATGCTAACATTTTTGTTACATTTGCTTCAGATTTTTTTCTCTTTCTCTTTAAAGAAAGAAAACATTTTAGATAAAGCCAATTTTCTTGGTCCCTCCAACCCCCAGGTAAATACTATCCTGAAGTTGATGTATGTCATTCCTATGTATGCTTTTGAACCTTTCAGACAGAAGAGGTATTCATAAACAGTATGTGCTGTAGTGTGAATATTTTTATGTTTGACCCAGAGAGTATCTTCTACATATTCCGCTTTGTGCATCCACACTCTGTTTTTGAGGGTTATTCCTGTTGATGAAGGAGGACCGGATTTGTTCATCTTGGGTAGTTTACTTGGCCTGTAATGTGAGTGGAGCCCCTGCCACTGTGCAGCAGCTATCGTCTGCAGTCTGTTATTTAATTGTATGAAGAAGGCAGTCATTATTGCATTTAACACCTGCACACATGTGTCCTTATGCACACAGGCAAGGGGGTGTTTGGATAGATACCTGGCCTGTAATTGCTGGGTTGTACACGTTCCTTTATTTTGCCAAATTACTCTCAGAAGTACTGCGTGACTTACAGTGTTGTGTTGGATAACACCTACTACCGTTTGACATATTTGTTGTGTGGATCCCTGCACTAGGATGCAGGTTTAGTGACAGCAGGGGTTTTGTCTCTTGTTTTCTGGGACTGGCATAGAGTAGGCATTCAGTATATGTTGAGTGAAGGAGTATTTTATGAATTTGATCTCAGGGTGTGGTAGGGTAGTCCAGAGAAAGAGACTGTGATGTCTGTTTTCCTGTGCCCATTTGCTGATGAGCAAACAGAGACCAACTGACTTTTTGGGTTTTACATCTAGATAAAGATAAGTTCTTGGAAGTCAGAATCTGATGAAATTAGTTTTCCAACTCAGTCGTTTATTAAATACTAGTGTATATCTAGCACTGAAATGTAAAAACTTCAGGGAGTTCAGATCAAGAGTGGTCTCAGATGGGTGGACTTGAGGGTTACATTTTTGTGAACTTGACGGGGCTTGGTTCTCGGCGTATAGATGAGGCACTGGTCGTGTTTGTGGGTGAATGAGGGAGCTCTTTCTCTCTGGATCTCACCTGGCTGTCTTTGTGGGATTTCTATGGAGAGTAAACAGTTAATGAGAAGAAGCCAACGGAGAAGCAGGAAGAACAGGGAGCCCTGCGAGTGCTTTCCCAGAAGGCAGCAGGCCACTTGTTGAGAGCTCAGCTAAACGAGAAAAAGACCCAGGGAAAGTCCCGGTGATCAGAGTTAACGCAGTTAAATAGTGGGAGCAGAGCCCCTGCAAAGAAAAAGAAGCACCCAAACGTTGGACCCTGGAACATGCCTTTTCCTTAGAGCCTAGTCAAGAAAAGGAGTCTGTTAGGGCCTGGTGGGTGGCGGCGGTGGGGGAGTCTTTTAGCTCCAGGAATAAATGGGAAGCAAAGGGGTTTACTGTAGACCAGGCACTGAGCCAAGCACTTTATAGACACCATCTCATTCGCCTTTTCTGCAGCCCCTTTAGTCGTTGGTGGTGTTCATATTTCACAGGTAAGGAAACAGAATCACCTAGCAAGCTGCGTAACTGCAGAATTAACAGCTGGGACTTGAACCTGAGTCTGTCATAGTAAACCCCTCTGCTCCTTTCCTAAACTGTATTTCTCTGGAGCAGAAGGAAATAAAGCCTGATTTGTCTGACATATGCAAAAGTTTAAAAAGAAAATGCTCCCAGAACAACCAAAGGACCTTGTAACCAGTGGACACAGACACCAGGGGGGTGAGGGCATGAGTGGAGGGTTGGGGGGGGGGGGGCAATGGGGGATAAGGACACATATGTAATACCTTAATCAACAAAGAAAAACATTTAAAAAAAAGAAAAACAAACAAACAAAATGCTCCCAAAAGTCAATGTGCCCCGTTCTGTCAGGCTTCTCAAAAAAACCTACAGCAGCAACAGTCATATTAAACAGCTGTCTCTTTTGGCCCTGAGTTGATGATCAGTTTCAGGAATTTGATTTGCTTGTATTTCATGAGTAAAATTCAAGCTTAGTCCTTAAGGTATGCATCTTAAAAGTTCCAGTTCTCTTGGTTGGAGAAATGAAGGCCTGGTGCCTGCCTAGAGAATTGCATTGGAATGCCAGATTTTTGGTGAGTAAATGCTATCGGTAGCCTGATTAAGTTTATGTCTCAGGCTGATCTCCTTGTCTTGTTGCTTGCTGTGGCCTGTGGTGGCCATAAGATGGTGCTGCAGCTTTGCAGTTGGCGAAGGCTGAGGGAGAGCTGCCCACTGCGTCTGTGAAGCGCTGGGGCTGTCAGCAGGGCCTCCGAAGTGGTTGTGTGGGGGCTGCTGGTTTAGGGCTTCTGTTGCTCTTCTTTTGTAGAGGGCGACTTGTGAGTGTCCAGGAAAGGTGGGTAGAACTATACTGATACAACTCTTCAGGGCTGACGGGCTAGCTCTAGGCAGGCTGCTGCCCTCGCTGTGTGGGCTGGATCCTTTCGGCAGAGACGAAATAACTGCAACTCAGAAGAAACTCATGCAACCCCTTTCCTTCTACTCCATTCAGAGCCCTTTGGGGGGTGGTATGTCCTCTGTCAGGCACTATACTGAAAACCGGGGTGGACAAATCCCAGTGATAAACAGGGTGACTTTTGAACCCAACTTCTTGTAGACCTGTTCTTCACATTTCCTGCCCTATTGCAATTTAGGTAACAACCCTCCAGGCCTCATTTGAGCAACTTCCTCCCCTGTTCCTAAATAGCAAGTGTTATCTCTTTGTTTGAGCCCTGGGTCCAAGTGAGTCTAGTAGCCAATTCAGAACAGTAGGGGACCTTCTTGTTTTACGTAACCAAGTACAGACTTCCATCCCGGCCACAATTAGAGCTCGTGTGACGTGGGATTGATCTTAAAAGTCTTAAACAGCAGTTCAGGTTCTGGCTTTGCTACTTACTAGCCGTGTAGCCTTGAGCAAACTGATCAACTTTCTTAAACTCCTGTCAAATGTAAAATAATAGTTTTGACCTTTTATGGTTACTGTGAGAATTAAATAAGATAATCCATAGCTTAGCACAGGGCTTAGCGCCGAACAAATGCTGCAGTAGTTAGCTGTCAGCAGCAGCAGCACTATGCCCTCACATAGCCCTTAGTAGAGACGCTGCCTCGCTGTTCTGTTTGCAAGTGGTGTCCTTCTTACCGAGTGTCCAGATCCTGCTCGCAGAACTGATTTCCAGGTTTTTCCTGTGTGTGTCATTGATCAGCAGATTTAACAGGTATTTCTCTCTCTCGCTCTCTCTCTCTCTCTCTCTCTCTCTCTCTCTCTCTGGAAATAAATGCTACGAGAGGCTAGATTTTTAAAGCCTGTGTTTCTTAACTCTAAGAATTAGGCTCTAGTCTCTCTTAGGTTATAATTTGATTAAAATAATTTTATTTCTGACTAGAAAAAAATAGAGAATATGTCTGTCTTGCTAGATATTTTCTTATGGATGTCTTGGTGCAACAATTGCAATCTGTTTGCTTTCAGAGTCTGGGGGCCATAATTGCAGCATCCCCAGCCCTTGGTCCTTCCATTCCTGGTTGGTTCCAGTGCTGGTTTGCTTTTTCCCTTTTACTCCTCCTCCTCCTTCTTCCTTCACATTACCTTCTCCCGTGGCCTCTCCTCTTCCCCCTCCCTTTTCCCTTTACTCTTACAATTCCCCCCTGCTCCTCTCCCTCCCTAATTTCTCCCCTCTCCTGGTTTCTACCTCCTTTTTGCTTTCTGTTTGTGTTTCTGAGGGCAGTGCTCCAATTACCTCATATTTGGAGAGATGAAGCTGCAGCCAATCCGGTTTCTGTCTGCTTTTAGGTCAAGTGATTTCTGAACTGCAGTGAGATGCTTTGAATTTGTCTTGTTGCAGCTCTGAGCCTGTAAGATGGCTGTCTGAATCGGCAGCGGCTGGGAGAGACAGAGAGGCGGGAGGGAGGGAGGAAGAATTGGAAGGATTGCCGGCACAGTGCATGTTTTTAAATGTGCATCTAATCCGATGAAGCCACGGTTGGGATTTCTCTGGGATCCCAGGACTGGCTTAGCTGCATTTTTGCTGAGATTAGGAGAGGAAAGCGATGGGAAATTCACTGGGCTGTGTTAAGGAGCCAAAAAATTCAGTAGCTATTCCTGAGAAGGCTCCTCTATCTCCTAAGAAAAGGGTTCGGTTCAAAAGGAAGTGGAGGGGGAAGAAAACCCCTACTCCAGAGGTATCCCCTGAGGAAGAACCCTTGGAAGGAACGGGAGTCATTGAAGAAACAGAAACCCGAAGGAAGTTCATAGTGAGTCTCCAGAAGGAGGAAGGCGTGGGAGGGGTGGAACATCCCCCCCCAGACATGTTAGTGCCTGAGGCCTCGGCCCCCAGCTCAGGAGTGGGAGATCAAGGGATGATCGTGCAGGTGAAGGAGAGATTCCAGGGGGAGATCCAGACTGCCCACCTTTTGCTAGAGAATGAGTCATCAGTTGCCAGAGGGGTCTGGGATTCCCTGGAAGAGGGGATGACTGTCATCGCTCACCTGCTTGATAACCCAGCAGAGAGGAACTGTGAGAAGTCAGTGAGCCAACTGGTGGAATTTCCAAGGACAGCATCCTGCAGCAGCAGGGCTGTGCTGCTGCCTTTGCAAGGGGAGACTGCCGTGGAGAAAGCAGACACTCCGCCTGGATGTCAGAGCAGCACCTTCCCCAGCAACACAGGAAATGAAGACCAACTTCCAGAGGGCTGGAGTGTGTGGGGAGGATCCAAGGGTATTTTAAGTGTCTCTGAGACAGGTTCCTGGATTGCAGAGCATTCTGTCCCTTCATCACTGTCGGAGCAGTCGAGGGGCCACAGAGGCACAGAGCCTGCCCACATGGGTCGAGTGCCCCACCAGGGTCCCAGACTGCCTGCTTCTCAGAGTGATTTGTCCGTCAGTGGCATGACTGTGAGCATTTTGCCCTCCTCCTCTGGCTATGGCAGCAGTGGGCCGCACTTACGTGGCATCCGACCGAAAGATACAGAACCGGGAAAGAGCTCCATGTCCTTCTCAGAAGAGGACGGCACCCTTTCTTTGGAGGCAAGCCACACCCCATCATGGGGTCTGGAGGAGGTAGGTGGGCCTGTTCAAGGGGATATGCAAGCAGCTGCTGGGATTCCTGGCCCAAAAGCTTATTTAAGTGGAGTGTAGTGAGCAGTGAGGATCTTGGGGCTTCTCAAACTTGGGCCGATGTTGGGGACTGGGAGTGAGTGGCTGCTGGGCTTGGCAAACAGTCTGCCTCAGGTCTGCCCCTGGATGCTTGGAGCCAAGCCTTGCCTCTGGGAGTCCCTAATTCCGGGTAACCGTGCAGCACAATTGCTCGAGCTTTCTGGTGGGGCTCTCTCAAGGTGCTTTGCTAGTTAGTACTGACTCTCGGGCAGGTCTGTTTATCAGCTTCCCCGCACAAGGAGCTTGTGGTGTAGAGTCTCTGAAATGAGTGGAGAAGGGGTGAGGAATGTTGAAGGGCAGAGGAACTGACTTGGGTGTAATTGCTCTTATGACGTTCTTACTAGAGCTGATGCAATCCCACTTCTCGGGGACACAGCTAGTGACAACACTCATTCGGTATTTGTAGAGGTGGACGGGATAGTCCTCCTTCGGTTCCTGATTCCAGCATTCGATGAGAGGGACGTAGAGTGGTCTGGAGATTAATCCCCCGAGGGGGTTAGGGCAGTTTTAAGGTTTGAGGCTAGAAAAAGTTGGTATTTGGATGGGACTTGTTTATGGCTCCGACAGGTTTTTGTTTGTGAATTATATATCAAGGCCTTGGTGGTGGTAGTAGTGATGATGCTGGGTGCTGGGAATGTTTTTAGGATCTAGGATCAAGGAGCAAGTGAGAATTCAAGAGATCTGAACCCTGAGAGGGAAGAGGACTCAGCAAGGCCCTGGGTGGCCGTGACTGAAGTTATAATTCACCAGGGACGGAAGAACTGTTGTTGGCCTGTCACCCTCTGCAGCAGGAGTAAACACCTCAGGGTCCCAGAGCAGCAAGAGGTGGGAGGTGAAGTAGGGCAGCCGCCTTGATGTCTGCACCACAGGGATGTGGCCTGCCTGCTGGTGCCTGCTTATCACCAGCAGCATGAGCCGGGGAGAGACACACATTTAAGCTGATGTGTTTACAATGCCCTCTTTGGGGAGGAGTTTCCTGCATAAATAGGCCCATCTCAGTGCCCTGTGTTGTTACAGAGTTTGGAGACTCACAGCAGTTGCAGGGAAAAGTGGCCATTGAAAAATATTAAAATATTCATTATATGCTTAGGCAAGAGGCCACCCTGGACTTTCCCATATAAAAGTGTATATGCGCGTGCGTGCGTGTGTGAGTGTATGTGTGTGAAGGTGGGAAGGAAGGCAGCCAGGTTGCTGGGGTGGGGTGTACAAGTATTTGAGTTTCACTAAATAAGAAGGAATATCAGTCAGCTTTCATCTTTGTAGGGAAAGGATGTAGAGTAGTTGGGGATAAAACCAACTGCTGAGCTGGTTGCTCTTTTGATACCACTAACATTAAGTAGAAGTTGTGGAGGCATCATCATATTTTAGGATTCCTGCTCATAAATGAGAGAGATGTTTAGAAAGTTAGGAGTGGAAAATTTTAAGGGAAATCAGTTCTAGATAATGGACCGTAGGTGACCATGGCACTTTTAGGGTGGGATTTCCTCACCGGGAGGGAAGGTTCAGAACCACTCCATGAGGGGTCTTAAGGAAAAGATTGGCCCGGCTGGTGTGCGTGGCTCCGTGGTTGCGCATCAGCCTATGAATCAAGAGGCCAGGGTTTGATGCCCAGTCAGGACACATGCCCAGGTTGTGGGCTTGATCCCCGGTGTGGGTGTGCAGGAGGCAGCCAATCAGTGAGTCTCTCTCATCATTGATGTTTCTATCTCCCTCTCCCTCTCTCTGCCTCTCTGAAATCAATACAAATATATCGGAAGGAAGGAAGGGAGGGAGGAAGGGAGGAGAGAGAGAGAGAGAGAAAGGAAGGGAGGGAAGGAGGGAAGGAGAGAGGGAGGGAGTGAGGGAGGGAGGGAGGAAGAAAGAAAGAAAGAAAGAAAGAAGAGGTGGGAGAAACCTTTGGACCATGATCAGTAGTTTGGCTGTATTGAGAGTGGTGTGATTATTTTGCTGTTCAGTATGTTTTGTGTGCTTTTTTTTTTTGTTTTCAATATGTTAGAGCAGTAACCCTCTTCAGAAAATAATTCAAGTTCCAGAGAGGTGTCTGTCCTTGGCATAACTCAGGCCGTATAGAATCTCTTGTTGGTCAGCCCAGAGCATGGTAATGGGGACCAGGCTGTGGCTGGACGTACGCTTTGCAGTGGGTTTTGGTTCTTTCAGGATAGAAAGAAATGGAAACTCGTTATTCTTAGGAATGCAGGTTTTAGATAAAAGAAGAGAAATGGTCTACTTTCTGTTCACCTGGTATAGTTGATTCTCTCCTTGTCAAGAAATAGTTAACATAGAAGTAGGATGGCAGGGGTCAGCTGGCAAGAATGGTTTCAGAGTGACAAGTAGATGAGGATATGGAGCTGGATGGGAGTGGGTTAACAGCATTGAACTTTGATGTCAGACCAAGGCCTTCTCTGGCCATTCCTTCTCTCAGGAGGACTCCCTACTCCACAATACCTGGCTTTTTGGAACAAGGAAAATTGTTGAAAATCCCCTCCTCCTCCCTATCTTGGCTCCCACTGCCAATTTCCTGCCACACTGTTAGTGGATCCTACTGAATAAAGAATTTGGCTCTATTCCAATGTCCTTGCCACACACCCTATAGACCCTACAATCTCGGGTGACAGTGAGATCTATAGTTGGGGGCTAGTAATGCTGAGGAAGAGATCAGTTGGTATGTTATTTTCTGGGCTCATTCTTTCAGTTTACTAGTATCCCTTTCCGGGTTCTCTTTAGTTATAGGAAAAGTTGTTTTACTAATACTGGTTTGGTATTACAACAAAAGAGCAAAATTAACTAGATATGATTGTAGGAATGTAGCAGTTAAAATTATAGTTAAGAGTTTTGCTTTAAGAAAGGATTTTTCTTTTTAAAAAAATTTACTTAAAAGGAATCATTATTATTTTGTAGGTATAACAATGGTGGTATGATTATATTAAAGAGTCCTTATCTTTTAGAGATACATACTGAAGTGTTTATGGAAGAAATGATGTATTTGGAATTTGCTTCATAATAATAGGGGATGGATGAAGTAGGTAGAGTATAGATGAAACAGGATAAGTTATGAGTTGATAATGGCTGAAACTGGGTTATGGGTACATTCTGTCTCTTTTTGTATGCATTTTTAATTTTTCACTTCAAATGGAAAGTTAAGAAAAATACTGGAAAAATTATTATATGCTGCATATACCAAAAAAGGATGAATATCTACAACACAGGAAGTGTAGTATGGGAGGAGTGGTTACGAGTGTGGAGCTAAGTTGGGTTTTCTGCTCTTCTACTCACTAGCACTATAACTTGAAGCCAGTTACTTAACTTCTCTGTGACATAATTTCCGCATTTGTAAAATGAGGATAAGTATAGTATATACTTTATGGGGTTGCTGTGAGAATTACATGAATTAATACAAGTAAACAATAAATGTTAAGAAATTGCTACAAATAAACAAGAATTAGAAAAATAGGGGAAAGCCCAGGAATAAGCAACTTGCAAAAAAGAAAACCCAAATACTTCATACACAGGCATCTTCCTCACTAGCAATCAAAGATACACTAATAGAAATCAAAACAAGATACTTTCACACTCATCATATGGGCAGAAAATAAATCTAGAAATGCCTAGTGTGGGCCAGGATGTAGAGTGATAGAAAACCTCTTCATATCTTTTGGGTGGAAGTACAAATTGGTACTGTTATTTGGAAGATAGTTTGACACTATTTAGTAGAATGGAAAAATACCCATATTCTATGACCTAGGGTTTCCGTTCTAGTTATTATATTCCCTAGAGGGACCTTCAAGATTCAGATTGGAATACTGACCCCCGACCTCTATCTGAGCCTGATGTTGGTAAAACACAGCTGTCATTAGATATTTCTATCCAGGCATTTTTCATGAATAACTGTTCTGTACTCTCGTCTGCTCTCAAGTGAAAGTTTTTAAAGTCTGGTGCCTTCTCTGTTGTGGGATGAGGTCAGCTAGAATTTCAGGACATGAGAATCAAGTATCTGTTCATTACACCTAGTCTCAGTCCCTGAGAGTTATATATATAGGCTTATCCAGCATCTAAACTCCTCAGCCTGGTATTCCAACCACACCTCCCACCTCATCATCTATCTAATCTTTTCTCCTATATCAGTTGCCAATTTGAACCTTCTTATTTTAACAGGTCAACCCCTTAATCATCTACTATTCCTGTTTTAACTTATTTCAACTTCCAATCTTTGTATCTACTTTCTGCCTAGAATTCATTTCCTCTTTCTCTTCCTCTGTTCTATAATATCCTTCAAGTGTGAATTAAAATCATACTTCATTAAGAAATACTTTTTATCACTTCAATCCATACTTAGTATTCATTCTGCCAAGATCCTCTTTTGAATATCTTCATGTACTATATTATTGTTGATTCTTTGGGTCATAAATTATATGTAACTTTTTCATGTGATCTACCACATATGACTTAATATAAGGTAAGACTTTTTTCCCTCCGGAAATTAGCCCTCAGAAAAAAGAGATTCTCTTTGTATTTTACTTTATAAAGTTTCTTATTGGGCTGTCAGTGAAATCATAGTCATTTCATGGAAAAGGATGAATGAATTTGGGTCACCATCTGCTAGTTCAATTTACTAGTATATTAATTTTTGTAGAGATCAACTGACATAACTGATTAAACAAAAAGGAGAGACCAAAAATTTAAGAAAGTTTTAGTTACTGTTCTTGGGAATTTAGCCTCCTAATTTGAGGTGTTAAAGATAATTATATATAAGTAGTAATCACATTAAAAACTTAAAAAAGTTACTCAGATACTTATAAAACACCCACAGACAGCAAGTGGTCACATTACAGAAATCATAAGTAAACACCAATAGAATGAATGAAGCCAAAACTAACCCAGTGTCATGCAACTGGATTTTTGTTGGCTGGGGTGAAATTTCCAGTGACTGCATGGATTTAAAAAATGTTGTATCTCTGAAATCTTAGAAATGTAGATGTTTTCTAGAATATTCAAACAACAGCTTTATTTTTTTAAAGTAGATTTATTGGTGGAAAAGACATTGATGTCAAAGATGCAGAGTTTGAATAACATGGTTTTATGAAATGTAAAAGTGAAAAGGCATTAAACTAATGCATTATAGCCCTAGCTGGTTTGGCTCAGTGAATAGAGCGTTGACCTGAGGACTGAAGGGTCCTGGGTTCGATTCCAGTCAAGGGCACATGCCTAGGTTGTGGGCTCCATCCCCAGTAGGGGGTGTGCAGGAGGCAGCTAATCAATGATTCTCTCTCATTATTGATGTTTCTATCTCTGCCTCTCCCTTTTTCGCTGAAATCAATAAAAATACATATAAAAAAGAAAAAATTAATGTATTAGATATACTGCTTAATTTTAAATAATTGTATGTGTAAATAAATTTCAAAAAGTTTATATATTCAAGAGGACCACAATTCCTTTCTTCCATTCACCTATTACCATTTGGGAAAGTTTGGGGACTGTCTTATTTCAGCCAGGTATGGCATGTCTTAACTAAGAACTTGCAGAGCAAGCATGTCCATTTTTTGTTTCCCCCTTCTCACCTAGCTAATTTCTACTCCTATCTTAAAGCTCAGCATAGATTTTGTTGTCCCAGAGAAGGTCCTTGGAATTGTTGGTTTGGGTTACTTGCTTATCTCTGTCAGTGTTGACCTCTCTGTACAGTACATTGTCTCCCCTACTAAATGGCTTGAACTTGAGCTCAGGGTTGTGCTTTTATCTTGAGATACCAAGGACTTAAACACAGCTCCTTGAATATAGTGGTTGGTTGCTCGAGAAATAACAACAGAATAAATAAATGGTGTTATGCTTCTTTCTTCTTTGTGGTGCCTGGAATTGTGTTAAGCACAGATGAGATGTTTAGTAAATCCTTATTCAATTATTAAGAACAAATTAAGTTTCTAGATAAGTTTCAGAAAAGGAATGAATTAAGCCTCATAAGGCAGGCATGCATGGTCTCTGGATGGTAGCAAGGCTGTCTCCCTCTCTGCAAGGCTGCCTTTTAAAAATCCAGAGGCGGGAGAAAGCTCCCCGACACTGAAGCTGGGTTTCTGCATTTGGCAGATTAAAGCAAAAGCTTCTGTGTATTCCAAAGGACAGCACTGCGCACATCACGTGTGAGTATTAAAAGAAGAGAGGGACAAACGCCAAATTTAATTCCTGAGATGGTTGTGACAATAATCCCATTTTTCTCATTCAGGTCACAGTCTAGGAAGGACCTTAATCCAACCCTCCAGGGAGCCAGACACTTCCCTGTCTCATTAAAGCTTTGTAGAAAATCCGAAGTAAAGCTGTTCATTGAACTATTTTCAGTGCAATATACAAAGATACTGTGATTGGCAGATAAGCAATGCTATCAGAGAGACGGGCTGTGCTTGTACCGGACATACGGTCATGCAATGTCAATTAACTGGAATTTCTTTTTTGAGTAAAAAACACAAAAACTCAGATTTCACTTTGTTTATTCAAGTTCTGTCC